CACATTTTTTCTATGGTGTGCTATATCACTATTGAATCATTTTGATCAAATTTTATATATAAGAATTATGAATTTTATATGTTAATTATAATCCAATTATAATCTAATAATTTTTTTAATTTTATTTATTATTTTTTCAATCTATTTGATAAAATTATCTGAAAGTTAAATAATATTATTTGCTACTTAATAGATATCATGGATATTAAAATTATATGAAATATTATATAAATAAAATTCTAGATAAACAATTTTTTTTTCAATTCAATTTTTTTTTTTGCATTCTGTTTTCGTTCTTGTATTCTAAAATTTGGCTGAAGCTCTTTTTACTAACCTAAATAAAATATTATTAAATAATTATTATTAATATTTGTAACGTTACATTATAAAACATGATAGTTTTTTATTATCATAATTGACACAATTTTTTTTAATTTTTATAAAAAATGGAAATTACTATTATCTTTTAAGTATTTATATATATTAAAAATAAAAATTATTATTTTTTTTACATATTTACAATTATTGAGAAGAATCACATAAAAAAACGTGTCCTTCAAATTGTTTGATCTCTTTATTAGGATTTCGCCTTTTTTCATTCTTTAGAATGTTACGTACTACGCATTCTAATGCATACGACATACTAAATAAATCCATTATATATAGATACTATTACAAGTGTTAATCCGAATGTAATTTGTGATTACATTATTCTTTATTCTAAAAATATTTTTTAGCATTTTTTTACAATTGTATAAAAATGTAATAAATTACAATTGTATGAAAATGTAATAAATTAGTATCCATAATTAGAATAAAATGAATAAATAATAAATAAAATAATAAAAAATCAATATTTTTGACAATAAATTTACAATTAGTTCGAATTGATAAAAAAATGAGATTTTTATTATTTATTGTCAATAATATTTATATTTTCTTACAATTAAAATATTTATATTAAAAATTGTTAATAAAAATTTATAAAAATAACATAGTAGTTTCTATATATAAAATTTTTTTAATAAAGAAAATTTTAAAATTAATATTTATTTCTTCTTTTTTTTTCATATATGAAATTTATAGTTCAATGAGAAATTGTATAACTATTACTTATAATTTGTAAGAATGAATAATAGGTTTCGAAGAGTGTAATTTTAATTATTATAGGTTAGGATATGCCGATGCAATAATTTCACGTACTATTATAATAGTTTTCCAAGTTTCGTGAAACTTGAAAAACTGGATCAAAGATTTTTATAGGTCAAGGTTTCAAAGCTAATAACTTATAGAATTTATTTGATGAAAAAAAATCAATGAATAGTTTTATAGTTTTATTTTATTCGCAATTTAACCTCAAAATTTTTTAAATTAAATAAAGCATTACATTATAGTAAAAAAATTATTTAAATTTTAACTTAAAATTTTAATAATATAATTTTTTTTAAATTAAAAAAAAATATTACGTATTAAAAAATTTATCCAAATCAAATTTCAATTTAAAAATGAATAATTTTTATCTTTATATATGCATAATTATGAATTCTCAATTACAAAAAATTATTATTTCTTATTAAATTAATTCATTTTATAATCTCATCAATGATATAGTAATATTATATTTGAAATAATATTAAATTAAAATTTATATTAATATATAAAATATATAAATATATAAAATCCTATGAATTTTAGATTTTGTAGATTAAAAAGTTACATTAAATAGTTACGAACAATTTCACGCACAAAAAGAGAAACACATTTTCTCGGACGAGTAGAAATTCATAATTATATATATATCAGCCTACTAATTAATATTGTCAAGGACGAAACGCTTCTTCTGTTCGATATAACGTGACGAATTAATGAGGCGTACGATAATCACCATTGATCGTTCTTTCTCCAGAAGTCATTTATTCATTTCACGCACTATGACTACGAAATCTTCTTTGTCGACAATAGATAGCAATCAAAAATAATTCTAGATCAACGTTTGCGATATCTATTTCTATTAATATCTTGTGATTCATCGATTTCGATAAAATAATATTTTTAGTTTGATAAATGTAAAATAAAAATTTTATTGATTAAAATATATCATAATAAATCTGAAATATCTGAAATATTTTATTAATAGAGAAATGATTTTTATTTTTAAAAAAAAATTCTGCGAACTATAGGAATTATTCTTATTTTAATTTAAAAATTTTTATTAATAGATTCTGATTTTTATGTTTTTATTTAAAGAAAAAAATATTTTGTAACTCTAGTAATGAATCATTTTGATTTCGAATCGAATCTTAACTTAAATCGATTAAGTTCTGATTAAATTGTTAACACAAAACAATAATTTCATTCGAGTTAGTGTAATTTGTGATTTTTTTTTCAATATTGTTCTAAAATTGAAATATAATTGAAAGAAGTATCAATGAAAATATAATTTTATTTTATTTTTTTTCTTTATAATGAAATCAACTTGTCACGTAAACGCAAGTTCGCATGCAAAAAAACAGAGAAACATGAATTTTTAATTCCTTAAGGGATAAAAAGACCTGTTGACGATTCACCAACAGCATAAAAATAATCTTATTTCTACGTAAAAACAACAGATTCTTTCGTCATCATAGACAAGTTAATTAATCAAATCGATAGGTCATGCTAACTACAAAGATGCATAATGTGCAAACTAATTATGTAATAATGATTATAACATGATGAAAAGAAACATAGTAAATTAAAATATTAATGAAATCCAAAATGAATTTGATTTCAATTGTAAAATACTGGATATAGATTTCTTGAATTTTTATAGAGAATCATGTTTGTGTTCTTAAGAGAAGAGATTAGAAAGAGAAAGAGAAGGATTAAAATTAAAAAGAAATAGAAAGTCTTTTATTATTAAAATTTAATTATTAAAATAAATTATAAAATAATTTCTTATATATAAGAATATAATAATTTCTTATATATATATTATATATAT